TGATTAGACATTTTCTTTTGAAACAAATTAATTATTGTTGAAATACAAGAAATTTTATTATTATTGCAAAACATTTAATATTATTATTATGTAGAAGGTATTATAATTCTTTGGTTACATTGATATCAACAAAGTGTAAGTTTGGTAAGGTGTTTGCTTTGGCAGATTTTGGTGTTGTTGGGAAATGCACTAGTTGAATACCATATTCTGGATCATTATCTTCTTAATCCAAGTCTATGATTTCCAAATCTGAAAATCTTCATTAGCTATGTAAACACTCTTATTATTCCCCACAAAGCAAACAATGAATAGATTACCCAAAGAATGCATTTGCTTAGCTTTATTGATAATATATTTAGGAAGATACTTCTCACGCCTTCATTTTCAATTTTGTAATTTGTAGATGATTCTCCAAAAATTTTTTATAACATAAAAAATGATTTCTTTTCAGCAATCTTGATTAGTTTAAGGACAGGATAATATCTTTATCTTTAAATAAAGAAAAGAAAAAGGTTATTATTATTATTTTTATTATTTGAATGTGCGCATTTATAAATTATGTGTAACAAAAAATTTTCCCGTGATAAAATCTCTATGAAATTATTACTATTACTATAGATTTGGTTCCGGCATTTGCTGAAATTTAGTGATTTAAGCAAACCATTAACCTAACTATTTCTTTCTACTTCCTCAACACCTTTAATGACTAATTGGAAGAGCAATGGTTGAAAGTTTTTGACTGAATAATTCCCTATTAGGAAAATCCAAGATAATTCGCTCATATAAAGCAATTGGTTTTACTTCTTTAATTTCTTTTTTTAATTTAATAACTATATAATAGACGAGTTTAATTATTCAAATTAGATCGTTATTATTAAATTGTTAATGTTAATATATGACAAAAATAATTATTACTTTACCAATAATTAATGCCAATACTGACATTAATTATTGGTAAAGTAATATTATCATTATATGCTTTATGAATCATTGGTTACACAAAAGGCTTACACATTTTATAGTTTCAGCACATAGATTTAGTTTCGCACGTAGATTTAGTTTCGGCAAAAATAATTATGCCTAAAATTTCGGCATTTTGCTTGCTTGAAAACCGAAACTAAATTTTTTAATTCGCCGAAACTGTTGCCGAAATTTAGTAGTTTAGGCAAACTTCTATATTGCTACCACCTTTGCGTCATATAAAAATGATTGCAACCGCTAGTTGCAACCACCTTTACGACCATTTTGTTTCTTTTTTTGGATTGCGACATGGAGCGCTAGTAAGAATCATTGGACTGGTTGTTTCCGATTTTTGTTACGTGTAACTTACTGTCATTTCCGATTTATTTTCAAGTTTGATGAATAAAATACTTTATTCTTGGAGGTAAGCATTATTTTTTCATTATATAAAAGTTTTTGTATTAGAATTTGAAATTCAAAACATATCAATAAAAAAAATAAAGACGAAAAAATTTTAACATATTAAATATATAAAACTTTATGATGACATTAAACACTTTGAATTGATTCATGAATGTGAATGCTATTATTATTCCGTCGATCATTGATATAAATATGAAATTTTTATAGTAAATAGATCAGCATTTCTCTGATATTCGATAAGTCGGACGCAATCAATTGTTTAAAGTACTTTATAATATAAATAAGTCGGACGCAGCAATCAATTGTTTAAGTATAAATAAATGTCCGACTTATCGAGTTTAGATGCGTATCATCAATTAAAAATTTTGGGGGATGGGGTGTTTAGATATGAAATCTGATTGGCTAATTTGAATTTAACAGCAAAAAATTCCTTCCAAAAAAATTAGGTTTTAAAAAACAGATTTTTCGGTTTCAATTGCAATTCCAATTGCAACCTGTTTTTATAAAACAAAACATTTGCCGTACAACACAATTTTTGCTAAATATGGTGAAAACATTGATCGCACCAAATACCGAAAAGACCAGGTGCGGCTAGACTCAAAAGGAGACAATTGGTGAGAAAACTGCACGGAAGTCGCATGACTTGCGAGTTTTGGAAGGAGATCGTGACATGGCAAATGTTAAATCTTTTTTTTGTGTTAATTAAATATAATAAGCTTCATTTTTTAGAATTTTTAGTAATAACCAAATAATTAATTAAATGCATAATACATTGTTAAAAGTAAACGAATAATCAATTAAATTGTCAATTAGTTAAACGCACAGCACTTTGTTTTTAGTAATGTTGTGCGCGAAAATGAAATTTATGCGAATTTGCAATTCACGTACGTGAAATTCAAATTAGCCAATCAGAATTTCATATCCAAACACCCCACCCCAAAATTTTAATTATTGTCAATTAATTAACTAAACGCATAATGCTTTTTCTTAAAAGCAAACAAATCAATGGTGCGATCCAAAAACAAGATGAATGATAATAATAGTGAAAAATGTTTTTCAGCATCCTTAGTAATAAACAAATAATCAATTCAACTGTCAATTAATTAACTAAACACAATATTTTTTCTTAAAAGTAAACAAATCAATGGCACGATCCAAAAAAAAAACAAGACAAACGATAATAATAGTAGAATTGTTTTTAGGCACCTTTAGTTAATAAACAATAATCAATCCAATTGTCTATTAATTAATAATAAAACGATACTTTTCTTATAAAAGTAAATAAATGATGTTATTTTTTTCAGTCTTTTCAAAAAAAAAGAATTTTGTCAATTCTGTTTTAATTTAAACATCATCCATCATCATTTCAATGTTAATACATACAAGCAAACGAAAAGCTCCCAGTGATGACAAAGTAGAGATTCTCAAAAAAAACACACAAAAATATTGATATAGAAACAGATATATACCATATGCGGAATCTTCTAAAAATACAGCTAAAAGAAAAGCAAGTGAGGACATAAACAAAAAACAACATAAAAAACCAAGTAAATATTTATCATTTATCTGCCTCTATTTTTTAGGAATAGCACTTAATATATTTTTAAATACCTAGAACATCCTTGTTGCATCCAAACTTGTTCAGAAAAAGGCACAAAATATGAACGATGCACAGTAAAAACTGGACCAGAAAACTCCTTAAAGATAAAGATCTTGAGCCTGCAGTCCAAAGTGCTGGTGAAAGGATGACTCAAATTGTTTTAAAAGGCTCTTGGTTGGTTAACCAAACAGCACTTTATCACATGGCCCTTGGTGATCAATTTCCTTTAACACAAGTGAAGGAGCTTTCAAGTATATGAGGCAATGTTTCCAAGCTGTAACTACATACAAAATACCCCTGACACCACAAAAAAAACCATCATAAATAATATTTGAGATACCCTCTACACCCTCAAGGAATGAATTGGGAAAATAAAAAATCATTAGGACAGCTTCTCTCCTCTGCTGCACAGTAATATGTTACAAATTGTCAGAACCATATAACAACAAATCTCAATAACTGACTTAAAAGATGGATAAAATATAAATTATTTAAGATTCATCAATTTCCTTTACTCAAAAAGCACATCAACTCCATTATAAACCATTTCATTACCAACTTGAAAAATCAAGATCCTCCTTCCCTTCCTTCAAAGATCATTGATAAACTCTTTACATCACATCCATAATATTTTCTTCGCCTTACTACCTGCATCCAATATATTCACTTGAAAGTGCAACAGACATTATTCCAAAATCAAGCTTTTGATGATGTATTTGTAAAAGCATCCTGGTGGCCATATCTTCCAGGTCTTCACAAAATCCTGCACACCTTTACCTGGCATTAACTGGGAATGTGGTCTTTGTCTCATCACACTTCTGCCTGAATACTCTTTCCAACAAAAGTACATATTAGTTGACACTGATGCTTTATTACAAGTCATTGAAAAAGTAAGAGTAACAACCATTCAAAGATTCAGAGCTGAAAAGGAAACTTGGTGGATGGAAGCATTTAATATTAATAAACTCACCAGCCAAAATCGAATCTTTGCTTACTCCATACAAACTAATGGTCTTGCAGTATCAGTTGGTCTGCAGAAGAAAGTTGATGATAATAAAGAGGATGTTGATGAAGAAGGATCAAATATTGATTTGAATGGATGCAAAGTATTTGGACTAGATCCTGGAAGAATAGATCTGTTTGTAGCAGTGGGCTCAGATGAAAAAGTTGTGAATTGTTCTAACAAGGAGTACTGGAACTTAGCAGGATTTGTTCTTACTCATAAAAAACATGAGTTGTGTGGTTAGAAAAAAAAATCTTCAGGCTGTTATTCAAGATGAGTTATACTTTGTTAATTTAATTTGCTATTAAACAAGAATATCATTTGAATAATACAAACCTAGAAATTCCAACCTCTGGTGTCACTAATGTCTATGAATCTGGCTCTTATCTTGCTTACATTCTGTTTTATCTTTATATAATCCTTGATTTTTATGGTGAATGTCATTGTCATTGGCATTGGTTGTGATAGAATCTTTTATTAATAAGCAGAAGGCCTTTGATATTCTGTGCAAGAGAATAACAAATGATAATGGTGACAGTATAGTTGTTGCATTTGATTCTCATCAACATCATATGGGCCCTGTAAAAGAATTTCGCCAAGAGCTTTCTAGACATTGCAAGGTGGTGAATGTTGATGCTCTGTACTTCCTCGGTCTGTTCTTTGTGTGATGGGTGGTTTGATAAGCATCAAAAAATTCTGGTCTGTCAGAATCTGCAAATCAGTCTGTCTGACACATTGGAATCAAAGTGTTAATGCTGCATGTAACACAAGGAACATTTTTTTGCATAAAACACTTATGGAGAGAGACC